CTTGAGGAAAATAAACATACGACTGCACAAAATATATGGAAATCGTGCAGTGTGAACTCGGCATAAGGAGCACAAAAGAAGATATTTTGAAAAATGTCAGTGTTTTTTTGTCCATACAATGAAAGTCAGTGGGGTCCAACGTTGGTTTGAACCCCGCTGATTTTCATTGTTTGGACTAACAGCTGAAACATTCTTGAAAATATCTCATTTTGTGTTCCACAGAATTATGAATATCATACAGCTTGAAGAGTAAATGATCATTTATTTTCATTTTTGGGTGAGCTACATTTTTAAAGGTCAAGCATCAAGGGCGTAATCTGCATAGTCAGAGGAGATAGAAGAAAGAACTTAAAAACACATTTGAAAAAGCACCAAATCAGACATATCACCTTTATCATCTTTAGCCAACACACCATATTTGCAAACAATCTTTACTCGAAGAAAACCATAATAGTTTACTTAAGATAAGAAAATATGCAGACCTGTTAGTTAATCTCCACTGAACTAGACAGTAACTAACATCTAGTGATCCAATACAATGGGTGAATTATGTCCTTGAATTGTTTATGCCCTGCAGTTTCAAGTAATTCAGTTTTAAATGTGCACTGTTAGGATACAAAATACAATCGAAACAGTATCTGGGGTGGAACTAAACAGATTTCATTAACAAAAATGTTCAATATTCACCCCGGTTTTGCAGCGCAGGCAATAGTTTCTATCTTTGTGCTAATCTGATGTCATTAATAATGACTTTCAGACTTCACCCTTAGGATAGCTTTGACGTGTGTGCTATCAGATCACTTTATCTATGAGTCATGACAGCTGAAAAACACCCTCATTTTTTGGTTTCTTAGAAGAAAATTTGACTAGACTTATTGAAATATCCAGTGTTTTACAAATCTGGAAAACATATCAGTAATCCATCACCACTTCCTAATATCCCAAAAATTTGTCTGGAAATCGCTTCACCTTAATATGGACTCCAAGTAAGTGACCTCACATTAATTTAGTACCAAAATAACTATTTAAACTGTTTTCTTAACTAACTGGTGGACCATAGTGATAAAAACAATGTGAATCAGAACCAGATCTGACCCATGATAATCAAACCCTCACCCTCAGTTTCATTGAGCAGGAAACCATCTTGTTGTTTGGGTGTTTTGGACTTCACACACAACATTCCAAATGTTTGGCTTCCATTAATATTTTTTCTATTTATAGATCAGAATGGGTGAAGTACAAGAACTGGTTATTTCACTCACTTTTTTATTTTTTAAGATTTTTTCCCCCCTGAAGTATTAAACAATCACTTTGTACACATGAATACATATATATTCAAATAAACATCAGAGACCTGTTTATTATAATAGATGTATCTATAAAACATTTAAGTATTTGATAGCATGATCTACATCGTTATTAGTAAATTACATGATTTTAAGGTATCAGAGAACGACACAGACCTCAACTGAACCAGAAGTGTTTGCTAACTGAAATAAGCTTAGTTAACATTTTAATTCCATTGTCTAAAGGAGTGTAACAGCTTTAATTGAAAAGGCTCACGCGAACTATTTGATTAGCATGGTCAGCTAATTAACGTTAGCTCATTAAAACCGTACTCTACCTGTACTGGAAGGTCCTGATGCTGGAAGCGTTGGTGAAGGCAGGAACGCTTAGATCTGGTGAAGTCACTGTATCAGATGAGTCGAATAGGACACTGTATCCCCTGTGAATGTTATATCTTCAATAAAAATAAAAAAAGAGTCGAATAGGAGATTCCCTTTAAGCGATCACTCAGTCCACTTAGCCAGATCAAGAGTCCCTCAAAAGCTGCCTCTGGTCCTTGCGATCTTGACAACATGTGGTCAGTGTTTCATGATCAAACGAGCTCAAAGACTGACGGTGTTAATACAGGCGTGACGTTATTAAATGGACCAGTATTTCTAATCTAATCCGTTCGGTAAGGGTGATCTCATCTCACACCAACGCATGCCCAAAGCTGGCTTTCTTCTGATTTTCTTGCGGAATGCCGGATATTAACGTCAACGATGAACGCTCTAATGACCAATAAGATTAATGGACAGATGCGCTCAACCAATCACACGCGTCCTCGCTGCACCCGGACAATGTCGAAAACACAATAACATGATGATTAATGATTTTACTGTTGTTGATGTATACATCTAGATAATGATACATTTGTTGAGCTACCAAGAATTAAACATTACAGCTCAACATGTTTAACGTTTGCTGTGTTGAGTGAAGTTAGTAATCTTTCGCTTGAAGTTGAAAAGCAGCCAATTGCTATTTACTTCCGCTGTTTTCGCATTGCGTCAATAGCCACTTCAACGTGTGAAGCCACGCGGTTTCTTATTCGGGTGTTTTAAACAGTCACTGTTTATATACTACATATATTTTAGTGTTAAAATGAGTTCTCAAAAAGGAAATGTTTCCCGATCGCGAGGCCCAAAACACCAGAATGTAACAGCCTTCAAAAATGACAAGTATGGTGCAAGCGCACAAGTTAAGGTAAGCGCGTTATGAAATAAACAGTTTAGAATCAGATTTACATTTTATATAATATCAGTATTGTTTTCTGGGAGTTTATATAGCTGTTTAAGTTATTGGTGCATGTGTTTTTGTGTGTAATCGTCCCTTATGATGTTACCAGAAAGCCAAAGCAAAGGTTCATGATGGTCTGTGCCAGCACTGCAAAGATGTGCTAGAGTGGAAAGTCAAGTACAACAAATACAAGCCCCTTACACAGCCACGAAAATGGTGAGATGAGGGAGGATTTACTGCATAGCAACAGATGAAAGGCAAATAAACTCCTCCACATTGAACCCATTTCTGAAATGTTGTTTCTGTGCCTTTTCTAGTGTGAAGTGTCTTCAGAAAACAGTGAAGGATGCCTATCTCATAATATGCAAGCCATGTGCACTAAAGCTAGAGCTTTGTTTGAAATGTGGGAAGAAGGAAGACATTGTCATTCCGTAAGTAGATTCAGGCCACTTTAGACTGACCATGTACAGATATGTGTAAACAGTAGAGCACATGTGCCATCTTGTGGACATATGCATTAGTGGTAAATTTACAGTAAAATATTCCTTTATTATTCATTTATTTCTGGCTACTTTCACTGCTTTGTTATTATATCAACTGTGCATCATTAGAGACACTTCTTTAATAAGATTAATTAAAATTACCCCGTCATGTATGTGTTGAAGTGTGTTAAACTATTAACTGTGACCAAAAAATTAAGTTCTTATAATTCACAGTTGTTTTAGGGTGTTTTAGTGTATCTGTCTGGTTTTTGTTTTTAGACTTGACAAGGAGGAGGAAGAAGAGGTAGAGAACACCAGCAAGCCAAATAAAGAGAAAAGACAGAAAAAAAGAGATGAGGAGGAAGAAGAGGATGAAGATTTTGATGACGTGGGCGTTTGCAATGATGACTGTGATAGTGATTCAGAGGCAGAAGGAAATTGACATTTGCAATTTTCATTATGCATTACCAGCAAACAACTAAACCCAAGAACAACATATCTATGGAAACCTGAGGCTGGGTTTTGGACATGCACTCACCTGTTCACCTGCTGTTAATTGGGGAAAGACTCCCAGGAGGTGTTTTCCTGTTGGCTGTAGTGATTGTTTGTTTTCATCTAGACCCCTTACTGTGATCTTGGAGGAACTGAAACCGTAATATGCCGAAACCCTCAGTCTTGTTTATTAAATCAACACAAGCATTTTGATAGCATTCATGTTATTGAGAAGCTGTGTGAATGAAATGTGTTTTATTATCATATGAAGCACATTTGGTGAAAAAAAAAAAACAGAAATGGGAAATACTGATGAAACAGGTCCATTTAATAAAAGACCTACATGCAAATTTTGTACTGCTTAGACAGCTGTCTGTTTAGAAAATACTGAATTACATTCAATGTTAAATCTACAACTTCATTGTCCTGTTTTCTGTCTTGCTGTCTGTGATATTCTTTTCTTTTTTTAAATATCCTCTTGCATATCATGAGTGGCTGCAAAAGTACAGGGGACCTACTTTATATTAAGCATCATTAGCTATTATGTACTAACATTTAAATTAATAATTTCCAATGAACCTATTGTGTGGATACATGTATTTACATTGTACTTTTTAACAATGTTTTTTAAAAATGCATACGTGATTACTGCTGTAATTATTTTCTGTAAATAGTGCTGTAATTACGCCATTTAACCCACCCTTAAACCTACCCATACCTCTAAACTTATCCCTAACCTTAACCATATCCCACCTCAATAGCAGCAAGTGTTTTACAATATAAGCAAATACACTGCAAATATATTTTGCAATATAACAATAAGCACATTTGCATCTAGCAAGTAATCTTTTCTAATGTAAGTACAGCTAGTATAAAGTGGAACCAACATAGCTCTGCAGAATATCTTTTCTGAATCAAAAGGTATAGTAACACATGTTAGATCACCATGTGATCGCAGACGTAATGCTATGAGGTCATAGCCAACTATTTCAAGATTTTCAGGGAAATCTCTCGTAATGTTTAAGGAAATTAAAAATAGTTTGTTTCACCCTTTGTGCAGCATCTGAACCACCTGTGACGCAAAGTCCTGAACACAGAAACCAAATGCAAACTGTTCTGTGTACGATTTGCGGAACTGTAACCTTTAATCCTGGATTTTTGTCATGCAGTTAAGTTATGAAGCAATAGGGGAGACCCGTATGCAGGTGTGTAATAAAATAATAATATACACTTGAAAACGTTTAAATTGTATTATTATTATTATTATTGTTGTTGTTGTTTTTGTTATTTGTAGCAGCGAGTAATTAAAATATCAAAATCAAGAAAATAGGCGGTGGTGTGCGATCACCAATTACAAATCGTACCAATGGCGCAGTAAAATTTGATTGGATCGACGCTATGACGCGCTTAGAGCTGTTGTAATGATTACCGGGTTATCTCAATATACACTTCCCAGGAATTCTGCAATGCCTCGTGTCGTATATAAAAGTTCAGAGAAGACACATTTGAAAAAATCTGTGTCAATAATGAATCGGAACGACACGACCGCGCGCGTTGCGCACGTCTTCAGGGGAACATTTGTGCACTCCACACCGAGAGCTGCGGTTGGGATACTGCAGAACTGTGTCTTAGGAGTCGACGATAAAGGAGAAGGGTCTGGCTGCAGCTTGGCGCTTGCACTCTCAGACGTGCATTCTCCAGTGGCTGCTCGTCGGGGGAGGCAGGGGAGGCACAGCCTCCCCATAATTTTGAGGTGAAAATGGGAGGAGGACGATTTAATGTTAATAAAATTCACAATTCATTTCAGTTCATGTCTCAAAATGTGTATTTTTTGTTTGTAATTTCACAGTTGTAATATCATAACGTGAAAGCGCCGCTTTTCTATCGCGAATGTGCCGAATCTGCTGATGTAATTACAACCGCTAGGTGATAGAGAAGGGGAGGGGGAGGCCGGGGGAGCGCTGAGCTCTCGTGCCTCCGTTGGTAAAAAATTAGCCAATCAGCATCGGCACGTCTGAGAGTGTAAGCGCCAGCTGCAGCCAGACCCTTTTGCGATAAAGGCAAGGTTTGTTTAATACTCCATTACAATTTGTTTCATCTCCTTTTGATTTTATTTCGAAGATAAATGTCCTAACCACAATGTATTAGATATAATAAATTGTCTTGTTGATTGATTTGTAATGTACCTCAATATATTTTTTTTTATAATGGGGATTTTTTTTTTCTTTCTGAACAGATTGCATTTATTGAAAAAGATCAAGATGTGGTCAGTCTTTCAAAATTGTGGGGGTTTGAAATTCTGACATAAAACAGCTTGGACAATAGTGAGTACATCAATCAATATGAATTGTATATATTCTATAGTCTAATATACTTAAGTCTAGCATAAGTCTGTTCAGGGTGCACACAGTCGCTTTTGCATTCAGAACAACCATTCAGCAGGTAACAAAAGAGCAAAACCCTTTTTGTAAACCAGCTTTGTGATGAAAATGTCAATATTTGTGAAATAATAAGCATGTACAAGCTTGAAATCTTCACATATCCATTGCTCTCACCTTGGTGCAGTGCCATTGCTTAATTTTACTCCGTTAGCATTAAATTTTGCTCTACAGTGAGTTTTTTTTATGCCTGGAATGGTTGATACACACATCCATGCCTCTCAGTATAGCTATACTGGCACCGCCTTAGACCTGCCTCTGCTGGAGTGGCTCAACACTTACACTTTCCCTGTGGAAGCCAAGTATAAAGACTTGGAATTTGCCAATAATGTCTACACTAAAGTTGTGGTAAGCTCATTTAAATGGACTACATAACATCTAAATAAATTTAACTCTAAAGTAAGGTAAATCATTGATGGAAATGATATGGATATAGAATGCATGTTGCAAATATTTCTTTTTCGTTTTTCCCTTTTTGTTGACTGTTTGGCACTGTAGAGAAGAACCGTAAAGAACGGCCCCACTACTGCTTGTTATTTTGCCACAATACACACTGATGCCTCTCTTCTGCTTGGAGAGCTTGCAGGTAAAACACATGCAACCAAGGACACACATATTAAAAGAATTTTCCCTGTGACTGTGTCTGTGTTGGCAAGCACAAACACAGCCTTTCTCTAAACTTTGGAGTCTTGCTTTGTACTATCTTGTCTTAGCTCTTGTTCCTGCCAGTCTGTTAAGTAACTGCATTTATGTTTGCTTTTTTCCATATTATGTAATTAGAGGTGCACTGTGACCTATCATTCTGTGAAGTAAAATTGTAATAACTCTGTGTAAACTTCAATATTATTTAAAAATCCTCTGTCCACTATGTTGCTGTACATAATAATTATCTCACAAGATAATAAATCAATCATTGATTTTAGATGGTGATATACAGTATTTTTGCCCCTTTTCCACTAGATAAGTTCGGACAAAGAGCTTTAGTGGGTAAAGTTTGCATGGACTCCAATTCTGCCGTTCCACAGTACAAAGAAAGTCCTAGCGAATGTAAAGAGGAGACAGATCAGTCAGTTTTGGAGGACTGTGTGACTGACACAATAGTGTTAGTAAGCTCATGTACACTGTACAAAATGACTGATTTGATGTCTGATTTTTTGTTATAGATTTGTTATAAGATTCTGCTTCCTCTTGTTTTTTTGTTTTTGTTTTTTTTTTAGTTTCATCAAAGAGCTTCTCAAAAAGGAGGTAAATAACAGGTTCATTCTTATTAATTTAATTGGTTTATTATAAAACTCTAGTTGTTATGCTGATCAGAGTTGGCATTAAATAGTTGTGCCTATAATTATTTCAGGCTCTGTAAATATGAAAATAAAAATATATTATCTGACTGTTTCGCTCCCTCCTGTTCCTCCTCACTGCTCAGTGAATTGGGTGAAATCGCCAACAAAAACAAGTTTCACATTCAGGTTTGTCCTCCTTTCACACATTAACATTTGAAAAACAGTGATTTACAAAGGTTAAAGAACATACAAGTAACATTCAAGTGGTTTATGGCATTGTTCACATGGTAGAAGTTTGAAACGTGGTATGATGACTTGATGATGAGAACAGTTGAGCACTGAGAACAGTTCATGGCTCAGGTGACAGGAGTCTCTGATGATCCTCCGTGCTTTCCTCACACATGGAGTGTAGATGGTCACAGCTGGGTGAAGATGTTCTGGAGGGAGGGAAGCTCAACAACTCTCTTCAGGGCTTTCTGGTTGAGAGTGGAGCAGTTCCCGTACCAGGCGGTGATGGTATGATGGCCCCAATAAGACAGAACGCGTTTTTCAGGTTTGAAAACACGAGGTGCACCACACTGCCTTTTTTTGGTTGACTGTTTTTAATTTAAAAGAGCTGTGCACTGAGGTTTTTTTATGTTGCTAGGCACCCACCAAATTCGCTGTCCTGTCAGTCTAATCAAGGATTATAGTGCATCCATCACCACAACGGAAGGCCCGCCTCTCCATTCATTCGATTGGACAATTGAAAAAAAAATGACACCGGGCGCTTTTCTGCTCAGAGTTGATTTCTTTTCAACTTCAGGCACTCAGAGAGCTCCTACAAAAACGCGAGGCATAAACAGCTTGCAAAATGCTCACTGCCAATAGAAAACAATTAAAAAAAGGTGCCTCTCACTGCAAAAAAACTTGTTCTGTCTGATCGGGGCCTAAGAGTTTTTGATTGACACATGGCCTTATACTTGTTATGGTATTAGAACTTTCAGTTCTTCATGTTAATAATTCTTGTAAAAGGTGATAATGAGGTGAACTATGGGTGTTTTCAGCTTTGTGTACTGGCCTTTAAGATGGAAGTTTACATTCTGTTTGAATATTAAGAAACGTGCACACGTTCAGATAGTCCATCAGCCTTTATAATAGAGATTCTGTGCAATTTTGCTTTATAAAAATAATTATAATTATAAATTGTAATTGTAATATTATAAATAAATGCTGTAAATATTATAAACTGATATTCTAAACTCAATAGTTAATAATAATTAACAGTTAAGCTGCTGTAAATCATAAGATAAACACTAACAGACACCAAGTAAAATGATTAACACCTGTTTTTCTGCAATCATTAAACCTATAGAGTCGCATCAGTGAGAACGAAGAGGAAGTGGAGCTTGTGAAAACATTGTTCCCAAGCTGTAAATCCTACACTGATGTTTACCTCATGCACAACCTGCTTACAGATAGAGTGAGTGATATTCAGAGATGATCATTATACATTAAAGACCTGATGACATATATTTTTATATATTTTTTGTCTGTCTAATATATTACTTTATATTTTTTTTCTACATAGATACCTTTGTTACTGATTCGTTGTAGAATTTTGTAGATTTTATGTTCTAAATTGTGTTGCAACGTGACTATATGTAATGAGCATATACAGAGTCCAAGTGTGGAAGTCTGAAGTCTATGCATGACATAAGCAAATGTCAGTCTTTTTTTAACAGTTTCATCTGTAATTCCATTACAAATACAGTCATTATTGGAAAACCACTTTACCTTAGGGTACTATGCACCTGTAATGAGATGAATGAAATTTGTTACTTGCCTTTATTATTTTTTTTTCTTTTTGAAAGGTGTAGTAATATTTTAAACCACCTTTGCCCTTAAAAATGAATAAATAGGGAGGAACTCCTGGTGTAGAATGGGTTTGAGTCTTTAAAATTGTAGCAACACAAATACATGCAGCTGTTTGACAATATACAGTTTTGTGAGTTTAAGAAGATATATATGAATATTTCATATAAAGCTGCACTTATCTGATGAACCAATATGTTTTTAATGAAGGTATTTTACGTATTTTGGTTTGTTGTCATTAGCCCTGTGGGTGTAAAGGGCTTGCTTGAGAGGTTCTGAATCATGTGCTTTGTAAAATGAGTTTGTAATCAAGAGTTCAGAACAGTGGAGTGCATTGCCATTTGTTTGAGCATACAAATTCCCTGCTCTGAATAGATGATGCTCTTCCTCACTGATCTAAGTGCAAATCATATTTCTGACTTATGAGACCTATGATTTAAAGAATAGTACACCAAAAAAAAAAAAAAAATTATTTATTCATTTTCTTTATTTACACTTTATTAACTTGTGGAACAACACATTTGATGATTTTAAAGAGTTTTTAATTTTGGATTATTGAGTTAAATTTGGTTATTTTCAATGAACTGGCTCAAAAAAATGATTAATTCATTCATTAATATTCTAAATATATGGTTATTTTGAATATAAAGCACCTTTCCAGTTATTCCAGCTGTTATATTGAACCTTTGCAGAATCTTAGTAATATAAAAGGTTAGATTTAAGACTTGAAATTGGTTTGGAATTAAATTATGTAAACTGACTATTGCAGACTGTAATGGCCCATGGTTGTCACCTAACTGATGAAGAACTGGAGATCTTCCGTGAAACAGGATCTGCAATCTCTCACTGTCCAAACAGTAACATTTCGTAAGCACCTCAAGCCTTTTATTAGTAGTATTCATTTTCAGATCCCTTTAAAATATTCTAATACATGTTGTATTTTTTTCATTTATTGTCTCTTTTTCCATCCCAGGGTTTGCAGTGGGATGCTAAATGTGCGCAATGTTTTGAACCACAGAGTGAAATTGTGTTTGGGGACAGGTGACGTTTTTTGTTTCTATTACTGAATCCCTGATTAATAAATTGTTGCTAGGCCATTTTGTACATTGTAGAGGAATATTCTTTCTTAGCAAAAGCTTTAAGATAATAGGCTATACATGTAAACTCAAATCATTTCATGTCCAGGTCTATGTATTTATTTGTGAGTAGCCATGTATTTGGCAGGATATGTACAGTTGGTCATTATCCCTTGGATATTGTGTATTGTGTGCATTTTATGGTTTTGTCTGTGCCGTATGTAGATGTAGCAGGAGGCTACTCCCCATCCATGCTAGATGCTATGCGAAGAACTCTTGATACGTCCAAAACCCTGACCATCCAGGATCCTCAGCATAAGACTCTGAGCTTTGAGGAGGTTTTCAGATTGGCTACACTTGGAGGCAGTGAAGGTAAGATTCCAGCTCTCATTGACAAGCATGTTATTTAATACTAGCACAGTACACTATATAAACTTGCCTGGTTGTTCTCCCCACTCCCTACAGCCCTCTCACTGGATGATCAGATCGGAAACTTTGTGGTTGGAAAGGACTTTGATGCCCTGCGAGTGAATGTTTGCGTTCCCGATGGACCAATCGATTTGTTTCCTGGTGAAGGCCCCAAGGTACAACAGATGTACTACTGACCTTTCCCGCCCTCATACTGAGAAAACAACATCAATTGGTTTAATGCTTTTAGTGTGTGGTTATACGCAAACACACTGGTCTTATTGCAAAAACAATCAATATCAATTAATATCTTTTGCATACATAAATTATAAAGAATGCCTCATTTGATGTGCTTTTTTTAACAGGTCATTTTGGAGAAGTTTTTAAATTTAGGTAAGTTGCTAAAGAAACATTTTGAAATGCTTTTTTTTGTTTGTTTTAAATATCCCTTTAATTCAGAGATTCCTGTCTTATCTAAGTTCTTAATATATTTGTTTTGAAAAGGTGACGATCGAAATATTACTGAAGTCTATGTGGCTGGAAGACGAGTGGTTCCAGTTCCAGATACATAGTATCTAGTTGTTTTTAGGTATATTTATTTATTTATTTATTTTTGATAGCTTGTTTCATGATAATACACTGCAGGTATTTGTGACACTCTCTCACACACAGCTCTAATCAGAGGCGCTTAGCTGTCTGTCTCACCTGTCCTTACTGTTTATGAGAGTTCTCAAGTAGGAACACAGCTCTCGATTACATTTGCTTCATGCCCACTATACAACAAACAAGTTCTAATTTAGTAGCAGATAGTCATTTATTCATGCTTCTAGACTAGTTCTCAATGTTTTTGAACTGAAATTGAGTGGTCAGCATTTCAAGCGGTGACAGCAGTGTCCCTTCAGTATGAAATGCTATACGTCTAAAATAATTTTAAACAGCATCTTTTCTAATTGTACGTTTTATACACGAGTTAAGAGACTATGTGGAATTGTTATACTCAAAAATAGTGATTTGTCACACTACAGGACTATTTAAAGGAATTGTAATAAAGTGACATCTAAAATTATGCACTTTCCCTTATACATTTATATATATATTTTAACAAAATCTTGAAAAGTTTGTCCATGTTAGGGTTAAAATGAGCCCACCCTCAAAAACAGCGGATTGTTCCCCCAACATACACACAACTTTACATATTAAATAATGTATACAGTTATTTATATAATTCATATGTCAGCTGCCGATTAATTGGCAAAATAATTGATAACCACATGGAGGCGCTAAGAGACTGTGTTTTACACTGCAGCTCTCACTCCAGTCTACTGCCTTACAGCGATGATGTCTCAATTAGGTAATCACTATTAGCAAAGAAAAAACATCAATTATGATGTGCTTCAGTGAGTGTGAGTCATATTTGACTCATATTTTCACAATATACTCATATTTGACTCACATTTTATATTAAAATAAAAAATACCAGTAAACATGATTTACATTGTATATGATTTTGTTAGTATTGTAGATTATTCTTTTTTCTCAAATGATCTGAAACATTTTTATGCATTATTATTTTATGCCATGCAAGCTTGTATCTTTTTCAGCTGAAGTTTGTTGCACCACAATACCAACATTCCAGTTCTGAACTCTCTGTCAGTCAGGTCTGTCTTGTGTGTTTGGAAAATAATCTGAACACATTGCAAATCTTGCTTATGACTAATCAGGAGACAGAAGCCATGAACCTCCAACATATATTTAATTAGATGTAATTACAGACATTTTTACAAACCAAAATAACCGCATTCACAGAAGAAGATGTAAGGGACACATTCTTTGCTATATATTCTTGCTGATAAGAACTGGGAAGATGCCCCTCTTAAGAAGTAACTCATGGAATTACTGAATAATAACCCCATGTATTATATTAACCCCTTAACTGTCACCGTCCCACCTGTGGGATGCTTGGCACTCTTTTTTTTTTTTTTTTTTCCTTTTGATTCATCAAATCTTATTAAAGGAATAGTTCGTCCCACCTGTGGGATGCTTGGCACTCTTTTTTTTTTTTTTTGTCCTTTTTGATTCATCAAATCTTATTAAAGGAATAGTTCACCCAAAAAGAGTTTGTTTCTTCATTGGAACCGATTTAGAGAAATACATCACTTGGAAATGTTTTGGACTTGTTTGTGCTTGTAAACAATGCTTGACCTGTGCATATTTCTCTCTGATTCAGACTAGATGACTTTTCACTGGAGAAAGCAATATTATGTATCATGGAACGTTATTTTAGCTGGACGAAATGGCTTGGAGTTAAAAACATCTTAATGATGGTTTTGTTTCTTACTCTGCAGCTTTTCACTTCACAAGATGTTAACTGATGGACTGGACTGGAGTCATGAAGATTACCTGTGGATTTTTGTGATGTTTTTATGCGCTGTTTGGACTCTTATTCTGACACTGCAGAGGATCTATTGGTGAGCAAGCGACTTAATGCTAAAATTTTCCAAATCTATTCTGATAAAGAGACAAACTCATCTACATCTCGGGTGGCCTGAGGATGAGTACATTTTCATCAAATTCACATTTTTGGGTGAGCTATCCCTTTAAATACAAAAATAATAGCAAAATGAAATGAACCTCAAAACGGTCTGCTTTTGCGCTCTAGCACAAGGGCTTGAACCACAGACATCTAGCAAACAGCATAAGTGTCTCAGAGCGAGAGAGAAGCAGAAGTGAAGGAGAGCGTATAAACATGGGAGTGAAAGACAAAGAGGCACACAGTTGGGAGAGAGACGAACGCGCTGACAATGAGACAGAGGCATGAGTAAAGCGCATGTGAGTGGGCGGAGCCTCGCACATGGACGCGGTGGAAGCATGTGAATGGAGAATGAGGTGAGCCTGTGTCATATGCAGTGACGTAATAATACCATCTAAACCCCGCCCCCTTCCTGCCGCCTCTCAGAATTGCTGAATCAAACAGAGCTGGATCAGTCTGGCTGGGAGTTTCCTGGCTAGGCCACACATGGTACATTAAATATTTGTGACAGGCATACATAAGCACTTAACAACACAGTCAATCTTATCTGACCAATCATTTTGACCATAAAATAGTTTAATATGGTGTAGGAAGATGATTGACTCTAATTCAAAAAAATTCAATGAGTCAAAGAGGTTCCCATACCTGTCATAATCCCCTCTCTTCATGTAATCTGACTGACTGACTGAATGAACTTCCTGAGGTAGCCTACACAAGCAGCTTTGTGAGCCACACCCAGACACACAAGTTAAAGGGTGATTTTACTCTGTACTGTTAACTGATCACCATCTTCATGGCTATGCCTCGAGGAACAAAAGCTCGGTACACACGAAACAGGCGGGAACATTACGGTAAAGTTGAGAAAGGGAAAACATTTAAATTTGGAGTTTCCTATGAACTGAGAATTGTGTCGGATTGGAGTGTTTACTTGTGCGTTGTATTGTTAGGTCGAGAGAGATTGTGTGAGATCAGGGGTGGAACTCACTGCCCAAATTCACTGCATCTGTCATAATCTGGTTACACCGGCCGTTCTAGTTCATTGTACACAGTTTTAAAATAAATAAATACATACAACAACAGCAAAAACTAACCTCACTAAAACTGAAAAGCTAAGTTTGCTACCTTAAAATTATCTTCACACTTTTTCTATCACTTTGAATGGAGAAATTCAAGATGGAACTGTGGAAACATTCTGAAATTGAGCAGAAATGGCACATTTATCATTTCAGGATTTTAAACTTGAAAAAAGAAAACATGCCAATGGGGTAAGAAATAGACTTATTTCAAAGTGAAAATCTGTTTTTCTTACTTCACTGGCAGATTTTTTCTTCTTATTTTAAGCATAAACTTAGTTAACAATATATTACATTTTTCAGAAAACAAGGTTTAATATCATAGGTCATTTTTCATCACAAGTAAATGTTTCTTGATTTAAGAATGTTTAGGTATTTATACTGGAAAACGAGACAAAATACTGATTAAGAAAATCTCTTTTTGCAGTGAGCATTTTTATTAGCAATCAATATACCTTTTACATTTATTTGTAATTGTCGATTAATAGTTTTGTAATATATGTTATATTTTTATTCCTTAATATTTTTTTTACTTGTCATTTACAGGACCATTTAAATCAGGGATTCCTAAACTTTTTTTGTCATCTGAACCCCTTTTGGCCTAAAATATTTTCTTGAAGTACACCCTGAGATTTTAATAATTTAATAATAATAATTTCAATAATTTAACCTCGTATTCACATGTTCACGGTTCTTTGATGCCACTTAATGACATACAGGTAAACAATTTTATTATTTTTTTTAATTGTTTATTTTTTGATTGAATTCATTATTAGTCAGTTTAAAGCTTTTCAACAAATTTAAATGATTTTAAAACTACTTAAAAAATTAGTTTTACAAAAATTCTGAAAATAAATAAATATTACATTTCCTTCCCGTTTTAAGTATTTTCACCTCCCTCTCAAGATTTCCCAAAACCTACATTTTCCTTCTTATAACCATGATGCCCATTCACGTTTCATTCCTTTAAAACTCTTTCTTTAAACTCCTGTCTCATGGTTGTGAGCCATGCCCTCTTCTCCTCAGCCGAACTCATGACTGAGAAGCCAATTTACAGCCTGTAACTCACACAAGGTTTAATGTGGGAAGAACAAGCTGAACTCTGTGTGAGACCCCATCTGCTCCCCTGCTGAACAATTTCTATGTCCTGCCTTTAATGCAGCCACAGGTCATTACTTTTACTTGTGATACAGAGTTCTAAGCCACACTGTTTTTCCGATCAGCTCTCCTGTTCAACTATGCCTCAATATACCTCTTTGTATCCTTGGTTGCCCCTCCCTCTGACGCCTGCCTACATTCTGTGGCATAGGCATCTGCCCTCAACATCTGTCACCACCCGTCACTGCAATGTCATCCACCCAGACCGGCTTAACGCCCAGCCCCCTCTGTACAAATACAGAGAGCGGGCCGCAGACGCTGACTAGTCAAGAGTATGACAATAACACCAAATGACTGGACGGTGATACAAAAGGATTTTCCTTTAAGGGACAGAGATGTACTTTGAAGACAAGACAGGAAAAGTATATCTGAATATCCTGCGTGCTTGATTGAGGGTGATACTGAGGGTACACACCAGCTGTTGTCATTCCTTAGAGGGTGACACACCGTCTCCAGCTGTCTGGCAGGATTGTCAAATCTGCTTTGGTTGCGAGTACAGAAGTGCTAAAGGTGGTCAGGACAGCTGCCGTGAAAACAGGATGTCTTTGCGTCAGCAGCCGGGACAGGTGTGCGAAACAAACGACATCTGAAAAATCATTCGGCTGTCAGGAAATCTACAATTTGGGCCTTCTGCTGTGTGTTATTCAGTACAAGAACGCCTACAAACTACTCACTTAAAAACAATTAACTGCATGACGTCATGGAATTTCCCCCAAAATGGCAACAGAACAACATGACTGTATATTTTCTCTCTGTATATTTTTATTTACAATACTTTTTTCTTTAATGCCAGGTAAAAGGATTAAATGCAATACATAAATGTGAACACAGTAAGTTTTTTTTCATACAAATTTGAATATAACTAAAGGCTGAAATTAAACCTCAAACAGATACATACTCTCAACAGATACATCTTTTTTTCTTTTTTTCTTTTTAGGAAACCTCACTCCCTACAGACGAAAAGACATTTATACACACAATACATGCACTCGGACTCGCTTACATTAACATATGCAGACACACAAAAATGACAGGTGCATTGTGGGTGCATTTTAAAACAAACAAAAAGAACAATGTTTCACAGAATCAGGTCTGACTTTATGCCTATACTATTGCGGTGTTATGAATGCACTGACTAAAGGCGGGTTAGCTCATCTTGCTTTGACAACAGGAAGAAGGGCTTGTGCGCAAATTTCCCTCGTGCGCACAAGTACGCTCACACGGAAACAGTCATCAAAAAGTCACACATAATTAACACAAATAAAACTCCCAGGCATCTGAAACTCTAAAACGCAGAATGGATGTTATTGGTTCTAGAATGTGGGAAAAGAGTTGTCTACAACAGACGAATAATGAAAAAAAGAATTCTGATGAATCTCAACCTTTCATTCAAAAACAAAGAAAAGGTATGATGTCACAGTAGCAAGTTCACATTCTAAAATTATTCAAAATAAACGGTATTAACTGGGCGGCCTCACGTTCCAACTGGTTTTGCTAGAACAGACAGTAATGACAAACTGCAGTTTAACAGACCAATACATGCTGCACACATCACCGGGTAGAGCTTTGACACACCTCTTAAAAATCCAGCGTCATTCATGATAAGTCAAAGGCTGAAACCTACTTACTCAGAAACTACACGGCCACATTTTGGCACTGAGTATCTGCCACTCTCATTGCATGAGGGAGGGAACAGGCAAAAAAAAAATAAAATAATAATAAAAGCTAAAATTTCCTGAAAGGTGTCCTATGCTTTAGTAAACAAAAGCATATGCGAGAATAACTAGCATTAAACGCCACGGAGAGGACAAAAAACAAAACGGAAAGAAATTAATACCTATTAGACAACCCAAATCTGTCAAGATCGTTCATGCATGAGCCTCAGACGGAACAGTTCTCTCGTTTTCTTTTTAAGGTGATGGAAAAACACAAGTCCGTTTTTCAAGTCGTCCATTTTATCCACCAATGTTCTTGGAGAAATCGGGTAAAGCTTATATTCTCTGGATCTTATCAGCCACCACTACGGGATTCTCCTTTCGGATCTTCGCAGCAGCTTCAGCCTTGTAATCGTACGTGCAGTTGTGCTTGTCTGAGTACCGGTGAATTCCACAGAACAGATTACCACATCGACAGTCAAAACCTGTAAAACAAAAGAAAACATAAGACCTCTGTTCATAGACACACACATA